TTATTAAATAGCACATTTGGCATAATGTTACCGCAATACCAAAAGTACCAGCAGTTTCTATTATGGGATTGGGACAGGGGCTAAGATTGTTTTAAAAAGTCGAATGGATTTGAGGAGGATGTTATAGTACTCTGTGAATATTTAGCTCAGATTCAAGTACTTAGAGCGAGCTCCTTGCAAAGCTCCCATTAACACGCTATCCCAATGTAATCAATGGAAAATTAATAAACAAAATAATAATAATAATGCATTTCTAATTTTCTAATTATATGTTTATGTTTAGAAATATGGTATTTACTAAAATGTTTCTAAAAACAAACATACATAGCGGTTTTAATTAAAAAGAGATACAGTGTGCTGAAATTCAAACCGGCTGAATTAGAAGGAATTTTTAGCTTTGCATCAGAAGGCAATTCTTGGGAAATAAAATGAAAATGGAAATATCAAATTAAAAAACCATGTTTATCCATGAGTTGTTTTTTTTTAGACACATTGAGGATATAATGTTATGAACTGAAAATTAGGGCTGTGTAACAAAGAACAGAGTGTGAGTGCAATAAATCTTAGCGAATTCTATAAAGTGCTGCTTGCTATTCATAGAAATAATAAATAGTTACAATAGGTAATGTGTGCTGACCATACTGCATATAATTACACATATTAATGTTGTTTCTAAATTCAGTATGAACGGGATTTAATGTGCCTTACCTGACAGTACTACGGCATTTCAGAAGCACTGAATGAATCATAAATTGAATGACAAAATGAATCCATTTCCAATCATTGATGCTCATTTATAGTCAGCTAAAAACTGAATTTGCTTAACCCATTTAGTCCATTTTTCAGCTATTTCCAGGCTTTTACTTTCTACTAAAATCTGTAATATTCAGTGCTTATGTTTTACATTATTTATCACTTTATGCAGATGTAGCAAACAGAATTACTCCCACCGGTATGTGATCCAGTGATGTGTGTTCTTATAAAGAATTTGCATTTTAGCTGAAACATTTGCCAGTTCTGTTTTCAGGGCCTACATTAAACACTTAATATTGCAATATGTCAACGTGTCTGCCCCAGATAGCACTCTCTGTTTTCAATATGTGATGGCATCTATTAAAGTCTAATCATTTTGTCTTGTTTTTAACATTATTTTTGTTTTTGTTTACGTCTTTGAATTTCATTTGCCCTGTTATGACATCCATATGGGAACATCCCAGAAGATATTTCTTGGCAATAACAAACGTCTCTGAAAGCCAGTACGATAATGACTTGGGAGGGTACCAAAATGGTTGAAGCAAAAACAAGCGCCCACTCTGTGCTACATGACTAGCTTTGTAAAAATTGTCTTCTGCACAAATAAATATTGTTTTTTTGGAAGTCTTCATAGTCTTGGCCGATTATATAACAAAATTTCAAGTTTATTAAGCAAGCATGATTCATTGTTTCGCTGTAGAAATATTGTTAATACATATGATGTCTGTAGTGGTATAACTAATTACAGCACTGGAACTGTCAATTTGTCTGTTATGGGAATGGGCTGTGTGTCAGATCCCTGGAACAGATTTGAAAATTAGATTCCTTTTAGGCCAGGCACTCAGCTGTGTCCTTCTGGCCAGATGAAAATTTGTACCCAAATGACATTCATATTTACTTTTCCCCAGACTTTCTGACTGTGTAAGACAAGCGCACGAGGAAACAGTTTGATTAAATTCAGTTTGGTTTCTGTAATTCTGAAATTTCGTTTAGTCCGTATTCGATAATTGCCAATCTGGAGCAAACTGAAATTCAACCAAAGGTTTTTGGAAATATCCAAAATGCAGACATCCGTCATTCCCTATAGGACACTATTTAGTAGCTAGTTTTCCTAATTTGGTACCCTTATGTGGGATTGCCCTATTTAGGATACCAAATGATGCTCTGTTTAGTAGTTAGATTACCAACTTTGGTACCCTTATGTGGGATCACAGCCAGAGAGGATCAGGTTAACACAGGAAGGATCCTCAAAGTAGCTGATCCTCTCTGGGTGTGACAGGTCTGAGTGGCACTTTAGCCACCTGGATTTTGTGAGTAGTTTTTTTTTCCAACTGGCTATTTGATTTTATCCATATATACTGATTAATCTGTACAATGTTTGTTTTATGTTTTTTTCTTTAAACACTTTTCATATGAAAAGTACTACAATGGAGACATAAGTATATTTTTATAATTATTTATTGTGCCCCATTTGCACTTTGAGTGCTTTTTTAACCCCTTAAGGACTGATCCATGTACACGTGATCAAAACAAAACGTAAACAAAAACTTGAATTTGCGCTATATGTTAATTCAGGCGTAATTCGCCTCTTTTATATTACATGCACCCACACTTATTATATATAATTTTATTCAGGGGAAACAGGGCTTTCATTTAACATCTAATATTTAGGTATGAAACATAATTTAATATGAGTAAAATATCAAAAAATGGGAGAAATTTAGAAATGTAAAAAAAAATTTAGTTCTACGTAACATTTTAACTGTGAATGTCATAATACTGTTTGCTTTTACTGCAATAAAATACACATATTTGTATTCAGCGATGTCTCATGTGTAAAACAGTACCCTCTATGTACAGGTTTTATGGTGTTTTGGGAAGTTACAGGGTCAAAGTGTTTGTGACTAAGGGGCTACTAAAAATGACTGGACATACCCCATTTGTAATACCTTAGGTTGTCTACTTTCGCAAATGGTATGCAATCATGGGGGTAATTCTCATTCCTGGGCTACCCTACGGTCTCAAAGGCAACATAACCAACCTGGCGAATTTCAATGTGAAAAAACTGAAAGGCAAGCCTTATATTTGACTCTGGAACTTTTGAAAACACCAGGGGTACTGTTATACTCGGGAGACTTTGTTGAACACAAATATTAGTATTTCAAACCAGTAAAACGTATCACAACAATTATATTGTCCATGTAAGTGCCATTTGTGCTTGAAAAATGCAAAAAATTTCACTTTTACTGAGGATATCATCATTGTAATACATTTTACTGATAAAACACTAATATTTGTGTTCAGTGAAGTCTACCGAGTAAATCTGTACCCCCCATGTACAGGTTTTATGGTGTCTTGGAAAGTTACAGAGTTAAATATAGTGCTAGCAAATTAAATACCCTGGACTTTTGGCCTGGGTTGTCAGGCAGGTCCCGCAAATTGCAATTAATAAAATGACATAATTATTATATTACATAAATATATACATAGAAATATTATATATATATATACGTGTGTATATATATATATATATATATATATATATATATAGTTTTTAAAAATTATTTTTATTTATATATAGGTATAAATATTGATATTTACTTAGGTATATAGATATATATATTATTTCGTTCAACATGTATTTTGATATCTATATATATATTAATTTTAAGATACAGTTAGAACGAATTTACACACATATATATATATATTATTTATTTCTTTATTTTTTAATTTCATTTTTAACGTATTTATTTATTTTATATTATATATAAATATATATAATGAAAATATTTTGATATTAATATATATATTAAAATACACTTAGACAGTGTATGTGTATGTATGTATATGTGTATATATATATATATATATATATATATATATATACTTAGATCATATATATATAATAAATATAAATATGATCTAAGTATATATTTTATTTTAAGCTGTAACTTTAACATGTATTTTACTTTTTACAGGCAGCAGACGGAGTGTCTGTCATTACAGGCACTCCCCCTGCTGGCATTGACATGGACGGCTATGCCATCCATGTGATTGTGAGGTCCTCGCAAGGACCTCGTAAACACATGGCCCAGGGGGCCAAAGAGGAAGGAGGGGGACCGGGTAAGTACATAGGACGGCTTGGGCGTTCTATGCTGCCCGCCGGCGTTTAGAGCTGAGCCCCCAAGGACAGCATAGAATGCCCACCGTCCTTAAGGGGTTAAATATTCTCACCCCCCAAAAAAGACACAAGCATGCTTGCAGAGTGAGTGTGATCCATGATAAACACTTTTTTCTCTTTAGTATAATTATTTACTTAAAGGACAACTGTTATCTCAAAACTGTTTTTTTTAAATATTATAATCCTTTCATACATTTTTCTTTTAAGGACATTGTTTTATTTTTTTTTAACTGAAGTATAAGTAAAAGACATGCACCTTGGGTCAGACAGTGTCTGAAAACCATCAGTCAGTTTTATGATGTTCCCTGCTTCACTCCCTGCACAGAAACAGGAAGACCATGGAGACTAACTCCTGTGTCCAAACTGTCTTACCCAAGGTGTATGTATATGGCTAAAGGACTCAAGGATCATGTATCATATACTAAAAGTCAGAATTAGTTTTTTTTGTTTGTTTTTTGTTTTGTTTTTTACTTACACTTCCTTTAAAAAAAGTCTTTAAAAAAATCATCAAAGGATTATTATATTAAAATGAAAGGTTTTTGGGTGAAAGTTGTCCTTTAACAGTTAATTCTTGCCATATAACCTTCCTTTAGTAAGATTGGTTTAGTATCCATAAATCCAGTCATTGTTATGGAATGAGTGCAATACCTTTTTCTTCTAACTGAAATCTTTTGTTATCTTATGATATTTTTCTATAAACTCAGATCTCAATCAGTAAATGGAAAACTCAGACTGTCAGCTGGAGTAGGAAAGCTAGCTTTACCTGCTGTGTCCTGCTCTTCAATCTCCATGGGGTTGTGATGAAATAATTCTGAACATAAACTTGTACTACAACATAATGTGCAATAGAATTGTTCAGTTATGTAAAAAAAACATGTATTTACAAAGCCATATGCATAATGCTTTATCGTCTTTTAGACACAGCTCAGCAATACATTGATGAAGTCACAACTAGATTTAGGGTTTGACTCATACCCCTATTGATTATCATTAGGTAAAATATTTTATGACATTATTTTCTTTCATTTCACCTGCGAAAAATCTTTCATATATCCAACGTTGTGTCAGTTTAATGTTCGACTAATGTCACAATGCCTAGTATTTTGGGATAGATATTTTATTGCAAATACAGTTTTGCTCACATTAGGATTGCAAGTTAATATGTAGATGAAACCTGAAAGTTATTTTAGAAGAACATTTTAGAAGCTAGCTCAAGGAAGTTCGTTGATATATGAAGCATTGAATCGTTTTAACGAGATATTATTTATGAAAGCAACTGTTTCACAATATATGAGGAAAGGGATTTAGGAGTGATTATTTCTGATGACTTAAAGGTAGGCAGACAATGTAATAGAGCAGCAGGAAATGCTAGCAGAATGCTTGGTTGTATAGGGAGAGGTATTAGCAGTAGAAAGAGGGAAGTGCTCATGCCATTGTACAAAACACTGGTGAGACCTCACTTGGAGTATTGTACACAGTACTGGAGACCGTATCTTCAGAAGGATATTGATACCTTAGAGAGGGTTCAGAGAAGAGCTACTAAACTGGTTCATGGATTGCGGGATAAAACTTACCAGGAAAGGTTAAAGGATCTTAACATGTATAGCTTGGAGGAAAGACGAGACAGGGGGGATATGATAGAAACATTTAAATATATAAAGGGAATCAACACAGTAAAGGAGGAGACTATATTTAAAAGAAGAAAAACTACCACAACAAGAGGACATAGTCTTAAATTAGAGGGACAAAGGTTTAAAAATAATATCAGGAAGTATTACTTTACTGAGAGGGTAGTGGATGCATGGAATAGCCTTCCAGCTGAAGTGGTAGAGGTTAACACAGTAAAGGAGTTTAAGCATGCGTGGGGGCATAAGGCTATCCTAACTATAAGATAAGGCTAGGGACTAATGAAAGTATTTAGAAAATTGGGCAGACTAGATGGGCCGAATGGTTCTTATCTGCCGTCACATTCTATGTTTCTATGTTTCTATGTTTCTATAAAAATAAATGGAGGCATTCGTAACGTGAGATTAGTGAGCACTCACTTAATTTAAACTCCAGTCTTCAAGTCAAAATATTAATAAATAAAAACACAAGTTCGTGAATGCTCTTAACTACCGTATTACTAATCCTATTCATCATTGTAAAATAATAATGAAATTGAAGCTAACAGTTGGATACCAAGCATATTTTCTGATTCAAATATACACTAACATTGAAGGTAATTGGATTCTTTATTTAACGAGGTTCACACTTGCATATTGAACAATCTGTGGATGAGTTATCTAATTATAATATAATGTTAGTTCCAACCCTTCCACGCATAGGAATTTACCAATTCCATATCTCTTATTTTTCCTTGATGAGTTCGATTGCTGTCTGGTACTTTCTTCTCATAGTTCAGTGTGAGCCGCTCCAGAAGTCGATTGAGTTGTTTCTGGCTGAGAATCTTACAGCTTTTTAATTGATGTCTTGGAGTTGTATGGCCACAACGTGTGCATTGTTTGCTTGAATGTAGTCTTTCTACTACGTTAGCGATCTCGCTGTTACTGATAAACTGATGGCCCAAGGGAAATGGGCTAGCTGAGATTGTGCCCCATGGCTTCTTGGACATTTTGCTAATAAAAGATATAGTTTCATTAATAGCTCTGGATAGATAATATATTACAAAGGCAAATTTGTATTATGTGAGGATTGTGATTTAATATGTAGAAGAAACATTCATATGAATTGCACTTACCAAGAACAGACATAAGCTTAATATAAGCATCTCAAACGGGTTTTAGCTCACTTCACCGATTACAATGGAAACTATTTCTAAGAACACATTCCATTGGCACCATCCAAAAATTCCATGTGCAAAATATAAGGCACATCTCCTCTGTACAAGATGCCCAGCAAACCAAATCAATATTATACGGTTAGTGAGGTGCAGATGGCATTTCTCTAGGCACAGTGAGAAAAAGGAATTGCATTACTGTTACAACAGGAGTATTAAAGGGACTCTCCGGTCACTATAACAACTTCAACTAAATTAAGTTGTTAAAGTGCCAGGAGACCCCCGGGTGTTTTCTTACCTTTAGGGCTTAAACCGTTCTTGAACGGTTTAACTCCAAATGTTTCCTCCAGCACGGATCTACAGGTCCCCAAGGTGGCATCCGGCTACTGAATCTCAGTTACAGGAAGCATGGAGTGCCACTGGGCAGGGGCACCTCTGATTGGCTAGAGCGGTCAGCTGATTGCTCTAAGCCAATCAGTAGCTCCCCATTTATTAAAAAAGGTAATGCTGGATGCGGCTAAGGTCCATGCTGTTGTTCTCTCTCGCCTTGACTACTGCAATCCCCTTCTCACTGGTCTTACGTGTTCCCAGATTGCACCGCTGCAATCTATAATGAATGCGGCGGCAAGGCTCATTTTCCTGTCCGCTCGCACCTCCCACGCCTCCCTGCTCTGTCAGTTCCTGCATTTGCTTCCAGTTAGATATAGATAGGGCTCAATTTAAAATTCTGGTACTTGCTTAAAAATCCCTACATAATACTGCTCCAACCTACCTATCTTCTCTAATATACAAGTATGTCCCGTTGAGGCCCCTACACTCTGCCAAAGACCTACGTATATACTCTGTCCGTACGCCCACCTCTAATGCTCGCCTCCAAGATTTCTCCAGGACTGCACCTCTTCTGTGGAACTCCCTTCCCTTCTCCCTAAGACTTTCACCCAATCTCCACTTATTCAAAAAATCAATGAACACTCACTTCTTCAAGAAAGCATATCAATTAAACTGATAGCAGGTTTTTATCCTCCACCCTCCATGACTCCTCTCCTGCAACTGTCAAAAATGACCTACTAAGCCCTCAATTAATACTTTTCTAACAACCTACTTCATACCCCTACTTTTACCCTTTGTGTCACTCTACCCCACTCCCTCTAGCATGTAAGCTCATTGAGCAGGGCCCACCACCTCTCTGTTCCTGTACGTCCAATTGTCTGGTTACAATTACATGTCTGTTAGTCCACCCAATGTACAGCGCTACGGAATGTGATGGCGCTATATAAATAATAAAATAATAAAATAAAAATAATAAAAAAATAAAATCTGTGGTGTTGACATCACTGTAGATTTGTAATTTCTGTGGGAAAAGCAAGTCTTATGGCTTGACTGGTGTGTAGATTTTTGTTTAACATTGTATTAACTATATATATATATACATTGAGCCCCTATGTTCACATTTGTTTTTTTATTCTAACAAACTAATCAGCTTTGTTCTATCGGTCTTATCCTATCGGCCTTAAACGTTAGTTTCTTGTTTCTTTTCAAATCATTTTTATTAAACTTTTTCAAATTTGTAAACAAGAAAAAATGTAAAGGATACAGAATTAAAAAGGGTAACGGGGCGAGGGTTTTTCCATCCACAACAATATAAATATATATATAAAAAATGGAACATTGCAAAATATATGAAAACATAATCATAGAATTCTATATTACAGCAAACCTAACAGCCTATAATTAGAAAACATGTTTAAATCCAAAGTCTTAGCTTTAAAAATGTGTATTTTAGATACAAATACGAATGGAGGGAAAATAATTGTAATCCATATACAGACAGTTCTGTTACACTGCCCAAGGTTGGGATTTTGGCCCTTCATTGACATTTTTGGACTTTCACTTGCCTATTCTACAGCAGGTTAAAAGTTTAATAGTTGGTTGGTGTAACGGATCGCCTGGCACCACAGTTGGCAAATCTGTTTGTATACACCATTCTTTTTACTCTTATTTTGTCTTTGAGTTAATTTTGCCCTCTGTATTTAGTGTAGGTCACAAATTAATAGTGCTTCTTTCATGGAATTCCACCTTGATTCTGAAAAATGTTATTACGCTACCATAACTGAACTCACATCAGTATAGGATCACAATTAATTATCTCCTTTTTTAATACTCAATTTCTCGCTCTTTCAATCTAAATCTGATAAGAAAGTACTGGAGGGTGAGATCTGGAGATGATATTTCTATAACTGCTATTAAGGAAATAAAATTCAGAAAGTTCTAACTGGTAGGGGAAGCTGAGGAAGTGAACTGAAGATGGATTTGTCATCTTTACTTTCTGTTTAGTTGGTATTTTCACTCATAGCAAGCCAAAAAATATGCTTCAATCAGATAGCACTTAGGGCCGTAAGGGGTCATGTGAGCGCATTAAATGAGGAAGTGCAGCAGATTGAAAAGATTAGACACAGAAGAGTGCAGTATTGAAGTCGATAAAGCCTGTTGCAGATGTAACACGTTCTGGAGGAGTTCGAAAGGATTTTTTATGGCTAGTTTTTTATTTATTTATTTTATCACAGTAAGTGCTTTTATAATTTCTACAAATTTTATCCACATTTTAAGACCTGAAACTTTATTTTCTGCATGAATCCCTCCTCCCTCCACCCACCCCTTCTAATTAGGCACTGTTCTGTTTTAAATCAGAGCCGGTTTAATTAAGGCTGAATACCAGATAAGCAGTTTTCAACTTTCTGTTGATATTCACTAGACTGCAATATATACCACACTATCATTGTATATTCCATTTCTGGAGGGTTCTGTGGAGAGTGGTGGTGTGCTACCCAAAGGCACAAAGGGCGAGAGGAGCCTGTTCCTAAAGGCTCCTGTACATGTGAGTATAACCATTTTAGTTTTTTATTTACAGTTACTATTGTATATATTTTATTTATTTTAATATTTTCTGTTATGTATAATATTCACTAAAATCTTACTTTGGCACTTCACTCAACTGTTTTGGGGTTATTAATGTTTTCACTCTTTTGAAATTTGATCTTGGGTAAGAGGGGAATTTGTACACAGGTGTGGTAGCACTTGCTATTTTTTCACCAATTGAAGTGCATTTAATATCTAATCCAACAACAGCCAAATGGAAAAGGTGCAAATACACCTGATATAAATGAACTTTCCTTTTGCAAATAGTCAAATGGGTTTCCCCTAGCAAATATTTGGAGAAATGAAGTCCTTTCAGCTGTTTTAATATATAGACATTGTAATGTTTATGCTAGTTCATTTATATCACTATATATCCTTTAGCTAATGATATAGATTAAATAAACTGCTCCATAATTACATTTCTGTATGCATATATATGTCAGTTTTACTCTATAATATTAAAATACATTAACTAATATAGCTTGTGAGTACTCAGGCCATACCTGTTTTGGTGTCTTGCTGTCTATTAGAAGTCTAGCTCTGTGTTAGTGTTGCTAAGTGTGAGCTCTCCTGTCAGCTAATTACATTGTATTTATTACATGGGAGCAACAATCTGCCATTCAATAGAGGTGTGTCCTTTTACAAACACACAGGGGTATTGTCATGACATCACAGGGTGTAAATAACAAGGAGTGACATAAGAGAAAAAAATACATTTGCAAATGGGAGCATTTTGTAAATCACAAAAAAACAAGCAAATTAAAAACAACTTACAGTTCTGCTGTATAACAGAGTTTGCAGGAATATTTGATCTGCACATTCTCTCTGTTTTAGGAATGAGCATAACCACCTGGCAATACTGGGAATGTGGCAGCCTTTGTGAGATTAACTGCCAGAGCTGATAAAACACTTGTGCTGTGCAGCTCATGCACAGCAGAAGCATTTCAGCCAACCAGGTAATCAGGACAGTCGTGCAGAGCGCGAGAGTCCTGATTACCTCAGATATTTAAAGTTGGGAAACTGTGGATGGTTAGGTAACCCCACCAAAGCACCTAGTATAAATAGCCCATTAACCAGTGTTAATTTAATTTCAATTTAGTTTTAGTCATATTCGTTTGACTAAAAAGCCATTTTAGTTTTATTTATATTTTAGCCATCTGAATTGTTTTATTTTTAATCTAGTTTTAGGCGACTAAATCTCCAGTAGATTTTAGTTGAAATGACTAAAATCTAATAGGTTTATTTAAAGCTCTGCCTCTTTGGCCCCTTCCCCAGCCTCTCTGTGTCTCTCTGTGTCCCCCAACTCTTCTGGGTGTTGTTCTTCCAAGCCCTGGTTTGTCACTTTTTCCCTTTGCCCAGCCCCTCTGTGTCTCTTTGTGTCCCCCCAGTCCCTTTGGGTATCTCCCCCCAAGCCCTTGTCTATGTCTTTTGCCCCCTTCCCAAGCCCCTCTGTGGCTCTTTGATGCCCTTCTGTGTATCTCTTTGTCTCCAAAGCCCAATTTGTGTGTCTTCATTGTGAGTCAGAGATACACAAAGGGGGCATGCACAGGGAAAAAAGACATACAGAGTGGCTGGGAAAATCTAAAAGAGTCACACACAAAGGGCTGTGGGATAAAAACACACATACAAATTGCTGGGGTGAGAGACACACATATGGTTGGGGAAAGTGAAAAATTACACACACACAATCTGTTGAAAGGGAAAAGTCACACAGAGGTACTGGAGAAGGGGAAAAGAGACACACAAAAGGGACTGGGGAAGAAAGAGACACACAAATGGTCCGAGAGGAAAGAGACACACAGAGGGGCTGGGAAGAGGAGAAAAAGACACACAGAATGGCTGGAGAATGAGAAAATGAGACACACAAAGGAACTTGGGAAAGACACACAGAGCAGCTGGGAAAGGGGAGAAAGAGATACACAAATTGTACGAGTATGTTTTCCTGGCACTATAGTGGTCCTTTAAATAGAAGGGGTCCCGGAACAGAACCCTGAGGGACACCACTAGCCACCTCTGTACAGCCTGATAATTTACTATTAATGACAACTCTTTGTTCTATACACACACACATTGTCAGGGTATTTATATCGGCAGACATCTTGTGCTATGATAGAAATTAAAAGTGTATATTCTGAGTCACTCTGAACAGACCAGACTCCATTTTGTTATTTTCAAGTTAACAAAGAGACATGAAATTTCTATCCTATCTGTAAAACTAACCACTTTCCCAGAGCTAAAGGAATGCATAGTATATACAAACCAAGTGATAAGGAGAACGGGGGTTGGATAGACTGTCTAAATGCTAATGGAATAGATCAATTCTAAACCCAGACATTGGTGACAGAGAAGATTAAATAATAAAATTTTACTTTCTATATGTATAAGGTACCATTGTACGGAAAAGGTTAAACTTGACGGACACTAAGTCTGGACAAAACTAAAAGAAAACCCTTTGAAGTGAAAGCAAACATAAGTTATGGCCACTGTAACGATAAGCCAAAATGACGTCAAAATAGCCACCAAGAAAAGTTAACTCTTTCCTGGATAGGTATGTTTAGTGGGACAAGACTGCCCTCTACAGACCAAATACCTAAATTGCGATCCCTAGATAACCACACCCCCAGTGTTTCTATTGGTCTAGCATCTAGTGAATTTTCCCTTTAAAAGTTAGGACATAGGGAAGACAGAAAAAAAAAGGAAGAGGGGTTGAGAGAAGGAAAAAGACAGGAGAGGAATTGGAAGTTTGGGGACTCCAACTCGGACATGCAGAGAAACCCAGGACAACATCTGAGACTAACACTCAACTCACAAACTCTTTGACACTTTCTAACCAACACTAGTTTACACTCAGAAATTCCTACACACCTCCATGCAGAGAGACATCCAAACAAGTTCCTGAGACTACCAATCGGATGAAATATCTACTCAACTGGTAATTATACTGGTTTCATTTAATTAATTAAATTAATTAAAATTTACTAATAGCATGATATATGACTGGATAAATCACGATCAGATTTCCATATTTAAGAAATCTTAGTCAACTAAAGAATATATAGTTAGAAACATTCCATTCTGCAGGTGGAATTAAGAATAATTATATATTAATGTGATATTATCACGTGTTAGCATACCGCTGTTTTTATCCAGGTGTATTGATTTGCTCTAATATAAGATAAGATATCTTTTAGACAAAATAAATTCTGCTTTTGTAAAAATCATGGTAGATTCTCTTATTGGATGGTTCCAGGAAATGACTAATGAACTGGTTTAAATGTTATTTTATTTGAAATTACATAAGAATAGATCTTAATCACCCAGGAGATCTAGCCAGCATTGAAAGGGTTACTCAGTTGATCTAACTGTTAGCCAGGGTTTTATGGCCCTTCGCTGTGAAAAGCTTAACTTTCAGTCTGTAAGGATACCCTCATAAATCGTGTAAGTCTTGACAGAAAATGCTGTTTAGCCATTGAAACGTGTATACCCATTCCATTGTATTGCATATCATTTTATACTGGATATTCATTGATTATTGTCACGCATGTTACATAATATTATTTGTTAATTATTGGTCATAATAAATATTTTTATAACATATTGTGATTTTATCTATATGAAATACATTTCACTTAACACGATAACGATCCTTGGGATCTGAGAATTGAATTAGTGGGCAATTATCACTGTTTACTATTATTATCCCATAAATATCCCCACAACATATATACACATTTTATAAGAAAAAAAATTTTTTATGGGTAAATTTTGAGTTTTTATGGGGATTTTTAGACCAATTTCTAACTTTTCCTGATCTCTCCTAAATTTGGTGGATTTTGTGGTAAATATTTTGTCATCTATTATTTTTATTTTTTATTTAAAATTTTTATAATTGGCTTCTCGATTCCTAGTATCTTTATGTATAATAATCTCAGTTAAATATAATTTATTTGTTTTATCATAGTTCATCATAGAAAACTTTACATACGAAAGCGCCAATTTTCCTTCTATTTCATCCTATTATTGATACATACAACATATATTATACTTGACAATGCATACAACATACATACAAAAAAAATAAAAATAACTTTTACTCTACTGTTTTCAATAAACAAGTTTGTGACTTTCTTTTTATGTTATTCCGAGTCAGGATAATTCTTTGCGGCAGATTCTGGTCCTTCAATAGAGGTACACAGATTTAATCTATATCAATCTATCATTATAATGCAAAATTGTGAGGCAATGCCTCTTTCCATTTTACATTGGGTTCTGATAGCCTCCTTTACTTGCTGCCAATTATATATTGTTGTCTTTTTCCAATTTCTGGCAATAGATATTTTAAAAGCATGGATCAAGAGATATTTTTTCTTTTTTGATATTTGAGGTAATTTTAAATCTAACAATATTGTTTCAGGTGTCAAGTGATATGTAATACCCAATAGCCTATTAATTTCTGATAAAATTCGGTTCCAGGCTCTCTTAATCGGTGTGCAATTCCACCATACATGTATTTCATGTGATCTGCTGCGCACTTCCAACATTTCTGAGTATCCGAATTGGCGAATTTACCTAATTTGGCAGGAGTCAAATAACACCTATTCACCAATTTATAATGGGCTTCCATTATATTTAAACAATAGGCTGCGGAGTAAACAGATTAAAGGGCCGCGTTCCATTCTTTTATGTCAATTTTTATATGTAAATCTTTTTCCCATCTGCATTTGGCAGGAGGGAGATCCTGAATTTTAACAGTTTTTATAATATCCACACGTTTAGTTAGCAAGTTTGCAGTTTCTCATTTTTAATTAGCTTGTTTAATTTAAGAACTGCAGATGTCCCATTCAGATAGCATATAGAGCTGTACAAAAAACGTTTTATTCTAATGAAATTCAAGTTCTGTATTACGGAGAGTCCAAATATTACCCATAAATCAGCAAAAGACATAATCTTAGACTCTCTGAATAAATCTGAAATTTTCTTAATGCCCTGTCTTGTCCACTCATATCCATGCATCAATCCATCTGTTTAAATGTGTAAATGGTAATGCCAGTAAAACATTTCTTTTAAATTTATTTGATTTTTAAAATGGGTCCAAAATTTAATCAGGGGTTTTAATATTAAATTATCGGTTTGGCATGACCTACTTTTAATTTGGATATTCGTTCTTGTAGATCATAACAGATTGACCACATTATCTGGCTTGTTAATATCATCAGATTACATTTCAAACCAATTTTGAGTATTATTATCTTGCTTAATTGTGACAATCGTATGCATCAGAAGATCTGCTCGGTGATATAAAAAGATGTTTAGGAAGCCTGTTCCCCCTTGTTTATGTTTTAAATATAAGAGATCCTGCCCTATTCTGGGTTTCTTATTAAGCCAAATATAATTTCTAAATATTCTGTTTATGAGAGTCAGCCAGTAAGGCTGTATCCGCATCGGAATCATTCTTAGTAGATAAATTATCTTAGGGAAAATATAGGCTTTTAGAGAGTTAACCATGATATTTCTAGTGTACTCCATTGTTTTAAAAGATGAGTAATTTCTCTAATTAATGGAATTAATCCTG